GTTGCCACCCCGCATAAATTTCCAAATAATGTAATGGTAAAAAAAAATGCACGAGAGCAGCCATCCCATGAGGAGGCGGGAATTGGTCCAGCAAATAGAGTTCGAAATCATGAACCATACAAAATGAAAATCCACCCTCGAAAAAAGTTGCCAACGATTTTTTCGTTCGTTTTTATTTTCCTTCTTTTCTTCCCCTTTGTTTTGTTTAAGTGGGCAAAAAAGGGAAATCGAAAAAAGCATTGTGTGGGTGGCTGTGGGGTGAAAAAATATATATGTGTGAGAGTATGCGATAGTGGGTGGATGATTGCGGCATAGAGACTGTGTTTCGCTTTGTTTGCAAAACAATCAAAAGCTAACAGAGTCGCCATGTTCATTCTTACACGACAAAAAAGTATAAAATATAAAATATTATAGAAATACCAGTTAAGATCATAAACATTGTTTCAATTCATAGTGGATCATCAGAACTAACTTTGCTTATCTATTAAATTTTTCCCGCATACATGACTTTAAAGATCATTTGATTTTTTACCGTGTTACTTCCTTCTTCTTGGCCATCGTCCCATCAAATTGTCCTGTTGACATCGTTGGCGACATTAAATATTGCTAAGCGTTCTTTCTTTTTCGCTACAGCACACTTTCTCGTCCTTTTTCGGCTCATTTCAAGCATATTTTTATGAGCCCTTTGTGCAGACAGGCCGGGAAACAAAGTTGGCTCGGTTGGCAGGCGCGGCAGCTTTAGTTTATTTTTCAAACGTGTGCCCTCGGCCACGCCTCCCAGGACAACGCCCCCAACACCAAGACTGGTATGTGCAAGACGCTAATAATGTGCCTGGCCGGCCAAACCGAAGCAGGAAATTGCTAGAGTCCATATGGCAGGATTACCTTAGTCCACATGGGGAGGACCATTACATTGCGAATCATGGACCTAAGATGAAACTCGAAACAAAAACGGTATCAGTTTATTTTAATAAAAAATTTAAGAAAAGTTGATTAAAAAATCTAAATTTAAGTTTATTTGCTTAAAAAACTATTGTGTATAAATGAACATGACATATTAAATATTAATCATGTATTAAGATTACGGCCTATGAGTTCTTAGATCTGAATACCTTCTAAACGAAAGCTTATACTGAGACCAGCAGATAGTATTGGAAGATAAGATTAGTAGATTAGTAGATTGGTTTGCCCAAAAAAAGTTATTTCCACAATTATCTGATGAAAACGATTCATTTATTGAATACATTAAAATCCTTACCTAAACACTAATTCAAATGTGATTTTTTAAAACCAAAAATAAAAAATAAGTGTATTAAATCTGAGACCATGGTCATATTTCCTCATTGGGTTATTGTTTTTGTTTGAATTTAGGAGCCCACAAAACTGTACGCCTATAAACCAACAACACATTGACAAATAACGGAAATGACAAAACAGGATCATACACATATACAACAATACATACGAATGGTTATATACATATATAAAAATAGAGAGCATATAGGGCCTCTAACCAGCAAAATTCAAACGACAGTGAGAAAGATTTTCTGCGTTTTTCTGCGAACCATCAGTGGGTAGGTGAAAAACCCACCCACCGACAGCTTCCCAGACCCCTATTCCCACATGCCCAAAAATATGCAACATTTTTTATATGTTTCTGCTTCACAAAACTTTCTGCACCATCATAAAATTTTTTCTACCCGTTACTCATAGCTTTGACGGGTATATCAGGCTTTCAGATTTATATAATGTGGGCAAAAACCCAAATATTATTATAAGTTATAATCAAAAAAACTATTAATTTCAGTATCTATTATTTTGTATTTTATTTAAAGGTTTATTATCACTCAGATCAACATTCAAACTTTCCAGGACCTTTTGTACTTTTGATACTCAGAAAAGAATACTTTCAAGGGTTTATATATTAGTGAAAAACGACTTTCCTACGTAATTTTTTTATATTTAATTTCTGGTATTTAAAATAATATTTTTATTTAGGGACGCTACATTTTTGTTAATTCTGTATATCGTTATCGGGTATGTTGTAGTCGGGATAGCTGGCGAGCCTTTGTTTTCTGCTGCTGCTGTCACTTTTTTTCCCGTTATTGTTGCTGTTGTTACGCCGTCGTTGGTTTGTGGCCAGGCTTTTATGTTGGCCTTCATGTGTGTGTGAGAGGGTGTGTGAGTGCTTTTTATGACCCAATATGGCCGCCACAGAGCGGCGTACGTGTTTGCTTGCCCGTGTCCGGTCTCCGGTCTCTGGTCCGGGACCTCCAATCTTTTCCCAAGCCCTGGAAACTTTTTGAGGCAGTGATGGCATAGACCTATCCAAGACACATAATGTTTCCTTGAAATATAATATTTTTAAATGGGGAATACTTAGCTGCTTATATATCATAGCTACCTAATAGAAATCTTGGAATGATCTCTAAAGACGTTGTATCTATTTTTAAAGTTATGTTTATAAATTTCTACAAAATTTAATCTTTTATTTATAGAATTAACTAAAATCGTGTGTCCTTTTTTTATATTCTTACCAAAAACACTAAATCTAAATCTAGTTTTAAGCTTAAAATATACTTACAAGAAAAAAGCTTCATTGGCATCACTGTTTCAAATGCGGGTTTATGAATTATATAGATTTTTATGCGGTCGCATATTATTTTTGTTGCCTTTTTTGTTTCTCCCTTTTTTGTGTTTGCCCAGACCCCGAGCCTTGCCTCCTTCTTTCGAGGCAATAAAAATGTCTTTTTATGCGTACGTTTGTCTCCAATCCTGGCACAAGGATCTCAGTTTCGTTTTCTCCATAATGGCCGCCTTCGGCCGGGATGTTTATGAATACGCTTCGACATCTCGCCGCTCCCTGTGTTTTATGTGCCAAGCCAGTGCCGCAGCTTTTATTATTGCTATTTCCATATATACACATACAAATATGCGTATTACACTCTCAATTTTCTGGTGTTTTTTTTGTCTCTGCTCTAGCTGCTCCTGTCGTTTTTGCATTAATTTCATATTTTGGGCATGTCAGTTTGTGTGTTGAGTTTTTCTTGCCACTGCTGTTTATTTCGCATAAATAATAAATATTTTTGGTTATTGCGTCTGCACAGTATTAATATTATTTCCAACATAGGTATACCCACACTCTTGCACGCCGTTTGGCATGCGTGCATCCTGCGAACCGCAGGACTCATGGCCGTGAGCTTTAATTTCGGTTCATTTCTCGTTATCAAAACATTCTGTTTATGCGCTTGTATTTGTTTTTGTTTCCATTCTGTGTGTATGTACGCCTATGCATCTACTTCCACTGTCGTAAATATTTGCAATTAAATATGCCAAATATTTACCAGAGTATATACAGACGTGTATGTATAAGTATGTATGAATAAATGCACAACCTTTCTCGCGCAATTCTCTGTTTAACCCATTTTTGATGTTGCAAATTAATATCTGCTATATGTAAGCTTTGAAAATTTTTTTATTGAAAATTTCATTATTTACAACAGTATCAGAATACACAGTTTTCAACAGATAATAAGGAAATAATTCTAAAATTCGGTTCTAACTCTAAAATTGACATTTTTGTTTATGATGAACCTGAGCTTCCTCTGCAAAAATAAATTTAATATTTTTCTACCTATAAATTAACTTTCAAACATGAAGTTGGAACAATTCTCAACCTATGTACCCAGCGGATTACATGCCTTGACTAATCAGAATAGTTTTATTACTTCATATGAAACGATTATCTGGAATTTGATAGGGATATAGCCACGCAAGACATTGTTATCGGCTTGCACTTAAAAAGAAAATCATTTTTGTTTTATCAACTAGGGCCCTAGGGACTTGGGCGGCTTACTTAATCGAAAGTCAATGGCTTCAAAACCAAAAGACACTAAACTTAAGACTTACCTTCATAAATTAGCGTAATAAGGCTTCTCGGTTTGCGGTATGTTATACGTTACGTATACGTAATATACATACCTACATGTGCTTTGCAAAAAACGATTTATTTTAAGTATTTAGACCCACATCAGACTGTTCTTATGTACATAAATAAATATGTAATACTTGTATGTACATTGACATACATAATTTATGAGATCTGAGACATTTAGTTCGCTGAGAATTCAAACTCAAAACTCACACACACCTTTCTTTGTGAGTAAGTAAAGCTATGAGTAACTCGGAACTGATGATATTGGTCATAACTTTGTTATTTTTGAGAATCAAAGCGTAACATCCATGTAACGGGGATCTTAACCCAACCATGAATTTCATACAAGTGGGACTTAAAGAACTTAAATAGTTTTTATTAGACCGGTCTAAACATTCTTTGAATGAGCGATGGTTATAGCTATGACCCGCCTTAACTAAAAGAATCTTTAATTTTTTTTTTTAAATGAGAAATAGTACATTGTTTGTGGTTTTCGTCTATTGTTCCACTGTGCACCCGGAGCACATGCAATCGGGTCAGCAGCGTGATGTAAACAAATCGGGTGCATGTGCACTCGCCAACGCCTCCGACAGCTGTGTCCCACCACGAGGCCAATGGACAGACGCTTATCAGCCGTAAAGGCGTAGAATATACTTAACTAAAATGCCGTTGACAGCTAATCGACTTGCTCAAAGTGCGAGATATTAAACCAAATGTATTTCAATTACAATTGTAGCGCACTTAACATAAGGTCCCAGTGTCGCGAGCGATCAAACGAGAGCGGTCCCCAGCGATCAAAAGAGAGATATTAGGAGAACTTGGAGCAGAAACAGTGGCGTATGATTCATTAGAGAGGGGATTCAAATTATATTAAAAAATATATATATAACTTTTTAATTTTTGAAAATTTTTTGAATAATATTTTCTGATTTTATTAATTAAAAAAATGATCGGCAATAAACTTAATTTTTATTCATAAAATTAACAAAGTTCACTCTTCGAGCGCTTCTATATTCTCCGTCTGCTAAGCTCCGTTATCACCCAAGATTTGAAAACAACCCAACAACGCCAGAGCCGCGTACATTGTGCAAAGTGGCGTTCCCGGGGGCAGTCGCAATTATTGCCTGAATAACGCGGATATAAAATAAATATATATAGTCAGTGGCAAGGATTAACAACCCATAACAAAGGGCTAATTCCCAGCTGCAGTCATGGCTAATGAGAACAAAAGGCTACCAGAAGAGGTTCAGGCCCGATTGCCTGACTTTAACTTTGTGCGGGATAAGCTCCAAAAGTTTCAGTCGAAAATGCTATACGACTTCGAGCAGCGATTATCCTGCACGGTGGAGGATGTGTTGCGCGACCTTCGACAGCGGGAACTGCGGGATCACGAGTTCCCAAACTTTGACAGATCAGACCCCAAGAGCACTTGGAACAATCGCGTCACAAGCAAATCGGTCCCGGACGTCAGCGACTCTCCAAATGGCAATGCAAACGGATCGAGCACAAGCCCCACTCAGCACACAGCCGAAAATCCCAGGCCAAAAAAGCGCACGTTGCCGGAGAAGGTATTCGTGGCGCGGGAGTCATATTTAACTGCGCTGCTTCAGGTGGAGCACATGCGCACCATTTACCACATCTTCTACATTATTCTGGTCATGTTTTTGCTGAACGTCATATTCTACGACTACTTTGTTGAGGGACGGATCGATCTGGGCCTGGGCACCTTCCAGGGCGGACTTCGACGCCTGCACTGGGTTATGGGCGTCTGGGTGCTGGAACATGTATTCGTCCTCGCTCTGTACTATGCTTTCCGAGGCTGGGCGCTTGTCAGGCACAAGCTGAAACCGCAGAGTAAGTTCATAGGCTAGATCCACTGAACAGGAAGTTTAAATACCTCCATTGTTATCCCCTTAAGTAAACTGGTTATATGGTTGGTTTGTGAGTTAATTCGTTTTGACAGTTTTTATTGCGTTTATGCACTAAATTGAATAACTACTGTGCTAAGGCGCTTTATGATCTATAATTTTATATAAAAATATAAATTTTGATAGCTTATAACCCCATTTCTTGATTTCAGGCGCCTTGCAACGGTTCTGGACGCACACCTGCCTCATCCTGTACATCAGCTCCCAGATGGTGTTCTGCTATGTATCCAGCTCTCTCTGTCTGAAGTTCGACCTTCCGTTTGTCAGTGCATGCGTTCTTTTGCTGGAAAGCACCCGCCTATTGATGAAGATGCATGCGTTTGTGAGATATAATGCAGGCAGAGTCGTGGCGGGAAAAGCCAAGACAGAGGACAAAGAGGAGGAGGCTGCCGGGCCACCATTTATCCCGCCTCTACACTGTTACACCTACTTCCTGTTTGCCCCAACGCTGATATACAGGGATGCCTATCCACGCACCCCAGAGATCCGCTGGAAGTTTGCCCTCAATCGCCTTTTAGAGGTGGTTGCTGTGGCTTTCCTTTATGCTTTTATCCACGAAAGACACATCCACGCTCACTTTGGCCAGTTCGGATTGGAGCCGATGGGAGCCCCACAGCTGATCTTAAAGCTATTTGGCATGATGCTGCCAAGTGCTGTCATCTTCTTATGTGGATTCTACCTGATCCTGCACTCGTGGCTAAACTTCACATCAGAGCTGTTACGCTTTGGCGATCGAATGTTTTACAAGGACTGGTGGACGGCGCACACCTACGACGGATACTATCGAAACTGGAATGTTGTTGTCCATGACTGGTTGTATGAATACGTTTACAAGGATATGTACACGCATGTATTCCGCGGGTCAAAGATTGCAGCCTCGCTGTCCGTTTTCCTTATCTCCGCCTTGGTGCACGAGCAGATACTCGGATTCGCGCTTCAAATGTTCTTTCCCGTGATGTTCGTCTTCTTCGGAGGGGTGGGCGTTTCTTTAGTTTTTCTGATGCGAAGGGCTCCCAAAGTTTTTGGAAACATTTTCCTCTGGTTTTCCCTGATCTTGGGCAATGGCCTACTAATCTCACTGTATGCCATGGAATACTATGCCAAAAAGAACTGCAATTTAAACTACCAAAGCTGGACGGACCACTTGTTGCCCGCGGTGTGGCGTTGTTACAATTAGTCAAAAAAATAATTAACGATTTTACACTATATGTACACATGGCGTACGCTTATTTTTGTATTTAATAATAGATAATAAACTTAATGAAATTAATATCTCTCCAACAAATTTCTCTGAGTTGTCGCTTTGAACTTTTCTGCTTAACCTATTCTAAAGCTATTGATTCTAGTTTTACATCGAGATAACTGATGCCGACTTATGAAATACTGTATAAGCATTACTAAATCTATGGCCATCTTTGATTACCCTCGCACATCGGCGAGGCCGGTGTTTTGGGAACGCGTCGCCGATGCCACCTGTGGCGCGTTTTCCTCCTCTGCGCGCTTCCGACGGAAAAGAATGACATGTGGCTCTGGAGCATGAACCATATAATGAACCCAGCCGGGGCTTTGCTGCACGCCAAGGTTTCGCCATTCCGTCTCAGTCATCAAGTGCGCTTTTGGTACGTGCTTTGCCAAATCCGCAGGCAAAATAACATGCCTGAAACGGAATTTATATAATTATATTGAAATAATGAATGAAAAATTAGGTCCAACATACCTGTATTCAAATTTGTCATCAAAGTACTTTTCTGAATATTGAATCTGATCCGCTGGCATGGCAAAAGCACAAAATCTGAGGTAAATAAACGAAAAATCAAAATAACACAATAAATAAAGATAGAGATGGTATTTAGATACTAGAGATGAGTTAGAGATGGCACAGTTTTTCATTACTGGAAACCGGACTATCGAAAAAGAACTGACAGAGAACGAGATATGTCCTTATTATTTTCAAACTGAAAAGCAACAAGTCGTTTATGGTATAATCTTTTAAAACTTTCACAAAGCTAATACTAAGTTTTAAGTCGCTCAATTGCCCTAAAAACATTCCTAAGCTTCATCATCGATCAGTTTTAACAAAAACGGTCAGCTGCCTTCATTTTCCATGCAAACGTCTGGCAACGCTACGCAATCACCCACCATCACCAGCGAGGAGGAAAAGAAAAATTCCCAACAGCAACAACACACAAGAGAACGTCCCATAAAAGGCCTCAAATATTTAAAAAATTATTAATGGTAAAAATCTGAAAGGAGGAAGTGCGTCCATGCGCTGCGAGAGTTGTGAACGAGCAAGGAGAGATGAACACAGTAGCTCCTTTGACGTAAAGAGTTTTATATAAGCTCCTCCAAACGCTGCTCTTTGCTCATCTTCTCCAAGCAACCTATAAAATATAAATAAACGTGAACGCACAGTACATACTTAATATTAGCATAGAGTTGTCACACAACCGACACACGCCTCGACTCCCATGACAACGCCACCGCAACAACAATAGGCCAGCAACGATAGGCGAGGCTCTTAGTGAATATACTTATGAGCAGGCTGCAATTAAAAATACGCTAGGAGTGCCATTAACAGAGCACCACCCATCGTCTGGATCACCCATAGGTGTCAATGGAAGCACGATTGCAGCCGTAGGTTGTCACGGAGCTTGGATCTAATCCTGGATTGCGAGCCACCGATAGAGCTGGAAAAATATATTCAAACTGCTCTGCTAACAGCTCGGAGTCGAGACTCACAGGACTCAATATCCCATCATGAACGCCAGCCTCATCTATGAGATACTAATGTATCTGAATTCGTTCTACTTTGGCCTGTACGCCACCTTCGAAGTGGGCGTGGGCGTGCTGAAGGCAATCCACCTGAACTACGGCGAGAACGTATTGTCGCGCGAAGCCAGTATCCTGCTCTCACTGTGCATCATCGAGACCTTGCGGATCGTCTTCGGCCGCAAGAGCAGTCTTAGCGATCGTGGTGAGTTTTGAAAGAGTTCCTAGCGGACTGAGGAGTCATAACATCATAGCAACTTGTGGGCAAGTTTGTTGGCCCAGTCGCAGGGGCGACAGTTTCGTCATCAACTCGTTATTCCATCCAGTGTTTTTCTGTGAGACAAAAGGCCATAAAAATGTTCATATCCTTATGTGCATATGTGTGCATTAATTTTCTACTTAGGAATACATTATTTTATGTTATTTATTAGTTCATAAAAATAAGATTTAATTTTTCTTTTAGGCTCTCATGTGTTTTATAGTATATAGATGTATAAATAGGCAACCGAATGTAAAAAGTATTTTTAGTTGATATTTTAGAATTGTTTTAAATTGAAATCTTGTTTAAGATCCTTTAAAGATTGTTTTAGAATCATTCTACTGAGAATTAGCTAAAAAAGAATTGTTCTGATCATTCCGAATGCCTAATTTTTAAATATAAATAACTAACTAACTTATAAACAACTAAATAATTACCATATAATCTTTTCTCCTTCTAGGCTGGCAAGCAACCGCATCCGTAATATTAACACTGCCCAGTCTTGCTATCGTAATCTTCTTATGTTGTTTTCAAACCTTTGTTCTCAAAATCGAAATTATTCTGAGTGCCTTAATGATCACCCTACAAGGTGCTGAACTGGTCTATGCCAGCATTTTTATTTGTACAATGTGTCGTCCTGTGACATATACCTAGCAGTTGATGCACCACGTTGCCGTTGCTGCCGCCACGTCAACTACCAAAATCGAGACCAAGAGCATAGCAGCACTTCCGCCTACCGGAGGATTGGACGAAACAATGGGTACACTTGAGAAGCGACGACTACGAGTAAGACGAGACACCATTCTATGGAACTTTTACATCAAGCGTATTGCTGGGGCCTTCAACTTTAATGTGGACTTAACGACCAGCACTCCGAATCCGCACTAATCCATAACATTAAGGATTATCCACTTTTGTTAGAAGAGACATTTCATCAAAGTACGTAAGTTATATAAACGCACAAATCAGAGAATTTTCGCGACTACCGAAATCACATCGTAACGTTAGGCGACGCGTCCGATTCTATCAAAAGCAAAGTTGTATTTAATTTGAATTTCTTAGTTGCATTCTTTTGTCCGGCCTTTGTCGCCTCCCTGCTGGCGTTGTGGCGCTGTTGGTTCGACTCTCCGACACGGTCTCGCCGTTGGCCGTTGGTATTTTTATACGGTCTGCTGTACGGCTGCTGTGATGATCTAAAATTATGTGCGCACTGCATGCTCATGCAACACCGCTTCTGTCCTCTAGGTGCAATGTACACTTCTAATTCAAATGTAATGTACACGGGCCACTGGGGAACGCAAGTTTTGTTCGGCTGCGGCAACTTGTGTTAGCCTCTTTAAAGCTAGATATGATGGTGATTTTATTCTTTTATAAACCTGGTTATCCAGATCCTTTGTATGAAAGCAAGACAAGATTACAGACGTGATCTGTCCCCATTTTTTTCGGCCTTTTGGTTTGGCTTTTGTACCCAGGAACCTCGTGTTTCAGGGCAGGCTATCCACCGGTCAATGCTGGCCACCAAAGAGAAAAGAAATAAAAAGGCGACAACGGCCGGCAGCTCATTACTCAAATAAACAGCCGAGCCAAATCGTGAGAAGCTCGCTGCAGCTTTCAACTAGCGCGGCAGGTCCCCGTTATTATTATGGTTAGTCTAAAAATACAGAGCCCAACGTGAGCAACGCCACGGGCCATTCGGGAGGTAGATTTCGTATAGTTTGCGCTATAATCCAAAAAGAAAAGGGGCAGGAGCCAAGTCACCAAATCAAAATATGCCACCCAAGCGCCCGCCGCCTCTCGTGCCGAAGAAGCCGAATCCCAGCATGAACTACGAGGTGTTGATCTACCTCAATTCGTTCTACTTCGGCATGTTCGCATGCTGCGAGATGGCCATGGGTCTGCTGAAGGCCATCAATCTGAGCTACACTGGCCACTCTTTAGCGCTGGACACCGGAGTTATGATTGGCTTTATTGTCTTCGAAACAATTCGGCTGATAATGGGGCGTATGAGTACGCTGGCCGGCAAAGGTACCCAATGTTCTCCCTTTCCGACAAAATTAGGCTTAAATTAGATTTTGACTGTATAATAACCTATTATTTTCTCCTTAGGTTGTTCAGCAATATTGTCGGTATTCATGACCGTCCCCTGCTTCATTGGCGTCTCCTATCTGCTGCTTCTGCAAACCTATCGACTGCGCCTGGAGTACTGCCTGTGCACGCTGCAGATCGCCCTTTACCTGACCGAGGTGTGGTATGCCATCGTCTTCGTTTTCTCACTGTGTCGTCCAGTCACCTACGATTAGTCCCATAAAGAAAGCAGCACAGGAATATTTGTATATTAACGACTTGCATGCTAAAATTTTAAAACATTTACAAGACCAGACAGAACAAAAACCAAGGATAGAAGCCAGATGTAGGCAGGCCGACTTGCTCATGGCCTAGAAAAATGTAAAAGCGTACAGACAAAAAAGCATATGTAAGAAATTACTTCTTTTGTATAGTAAGGATTGTAATAACAGATACACACATACATATATTCGACGGTTTTATATACAAAAATTGTTAACATTTAAGCATCAATTGGAACCAATATAAGACAGAAAGTTAAATTTAACCTTGAATAATTTTCACATTTTAAAGATGAAATTTTTTTATAAAAAATCCAAACAGAAATATTGAAAAAAAAAACTTAGCAAAAAACAGTTTACAAGATTTAGAAAAATATCTTGAATCTTTAGAAGAAATGTAAAATATATTTAAGAAGGATAGTCAGACAGCCGAAATGTTCGCTTCAAATCAGAGAAATAATTGGTTAACAATAAATGTAACAAATAGTAACTTACAAATTCAGCCATATAGAACAAAGCATTCAAAATTTGTAATACAAATTCCATAAAAAAAAAACAATTCACAAGCCCACGAAAATTCAAGACGATGTGTGTACTTTATTAAAAATACTTTATATAAAACTAGAATATAGCGTAAATAACATGTACTAACACTAAAGCAAAAGCCCAAAGAACAACAATTACCAAAAATCGCGTTACAAATTAGTTAAATCATACGGAACATTTTTAGCCCATTATCTAGGCAAAGCCTCTCCAAATTGGTGCCGCAAACTAATTGCGAACTCTTCTCAATAATTCAGCCTATTGGCGAAACCCCCAAAAGTCTAGCTCAATTATCCCCGCCTAAAATGAAGTAGTAGTCGGATTAGGAATGAATATATTGAAGAGGATAAGAATAAAAGGCAGCTCCACTAATGCTAGTCACTAACTAACTGCTAGTTCACAAGAAACTTCTAAGCTATAACAAAGATTGTGTATAATTTTAAAGACCTTTTTGTGGTTTCATAGCGCAAATATTAATTACAAATCTCAAATAGTCCATAAATCTCTGCTTTTAAAAATACAATTTTAATTAGAAGGCGTGTCCATATGCAAAGTGAAACCTGCAAGGGCCACATCCTGTAATGGATGTGGAGTAATTTATTTTTAAATTTATGTAATTTCGTTGAACCCAAAATGTTAACATACTTTTAAAGCGCATCTAACACTATTTAGTTATTAAATCAATCAAAAAAAAAATCAACAAAATCCTTTGAAATTTTATAACAAGTTATATACACTCGATATAAAAGAAATTAAAGATGAAAAACAATCACTGTCTTTTATTAGTAGGCTATGAGGCTATTTTTATCCATCAGAGTAACACAGCAAGGAAAATTTTAAAACTTTTTACGAAACACACACCACACGTCCTTCAAATTACTTGTTTTAGAAATTCCAAACAGGAACTACTGTAGGCCGTGGCATCTCCAGGGAACTCCATGGATAGAAGCCACAAGTCAGGTATACCTATACCGCCTATATGGGCCCAATAGCAAATACATATATTTTTTATTTCTTCCAGAGGAGGCTTTCAATCAGTCAATGTCCAGCAGTAGCCGCCGAGTCATGTGGAAACTCACTGATGAAGAGGAGACCTTCGACTCCTTGGTCCAATACCGCCGCGTCCCTGCCCGTAACGTGTGCGTGTCTGCACAGCAACCGAAAGTTCGCGCTGTAGCCCTGTCCGAACCAGAACAGCGTCCCAGGAAGCGCACTGCGAGCGAGAACTGGCTGATGCTTTTGCGCGAACTGCGCAAGCAGAAAACCACCATCAAGGAGCGGGAGCAGAGCAAGAAAGCGTCCGATGTCCATGAATCGGCTTGGAAGCACAATCACTCGTCAGCCACATCGCTGCCGGAGGTAAAAGAGCCATCTGTCAAAGAGCGTGCGGATGCTTACTGGCAGCGGCTCTTTACCGGAACGTGCAAGCGACGGGCGGATGAAAAGGAGATGGCCAGTGCAGGCGCCGAGCAGGAGGATCCGGCGGACATTGCCCTGACCGTGAAACCCAGCTTGGCGCTCCGTTACAAGCCTTCCCACGAGTCCCTTAAATACAAGCGGAGCAAGGACCTTGGTTCAGAACGCCTTCAGAGCACCTCCCGGGGACCTACTAAACTTGTGACTGATCTCAAGGTAGAGTCCTTTTGCCTGCCCCCGCAGCAAAAGTGCGTGGTACGCGAAATGGCACCCAAATTCGCCCAACGAATGCATATGTCACTAGCCAATGACACCGATTCCTGCTGCTCCGGCGATCTGGAGGTTCCAACGAACAGTCCTGTTCTAGACCTGGACGTCAACTCACCGCCACAACAGCCGCAGATGCGACCTCGCACTGAAATAATCAGCGTTCACATTTCGACCCCTCCCAGGTCGACCCCATCGTTCGCGGAAACTACTGGACGCAGCACGAGTCCCATCAAGCGTCGAGTCATCACCAACAAAATCACGACAGGAACAAAAGGTAGCTCCACCGCCGCTGCATCCTCGGCAGGGGGCAACAAGTGTTCCAGTGCCAGCAGCGGCAGCACGGGCCCTCACTTGCCCACCTTTCGGCAGCGGCAGCAAGAGCTCCACCGTTATCGCATCCTCATCGAAAAACGGCGTTTGGATCTCCTCGAGCTGAAGATAGCCCGCGAACGGGAAGAGGCTCTACACAGCGAACTTCTCTTTCACAAGGACCTGCAGATCAAGGAGCACATGCTCAAGGTTTACGAGGACAACGACTGTTCGAACGCATAGAAATCAAAATTACCACTGGCATAGGCTCAAAATTCATGGTGGTTTTCAGAGTTTATAATGGCCGTGGTCGCAGTAGTTCTAAATTCACGACTCAAAACCTAAAGACAGATAAATACCAATAACATATCCATCTATAGGTTACCCCATTTCAATAGTCTTATTTTTCTTAGGGAGGGTTTTCGATATCTGTTCATTGAAAAATAATGGGTATCCGAATTCTTTTTCCGTGTATGTTATAAAACCAATTTATGTAGCATACTTTTTGGCTTCATTCTCTTTTTATTCTCAGTATAGATGTTAAAATTTTGTTTTTTGCAACACTGTTTTCAAAAATGCGTTTCCACAAAATAAACGGCCTTCATATATATTTTTAAGTTTTTTTTTTTTAGAAATAATAATAATATAATGTTTATATTCCATTTAAAAACTTTTTTAAAGGCTCAAATGATAGAGGTTTTTGCTGATAGATGGACAATATAATCTTGAAATCATCATAAATCCTGAAATCATAGTAATAAAGATAAAATTAAGCAATAACTCAGCTCTGACAAATCCTTAAAAAGTAAAATTTATTTACTTTAAAAGTAATATTTCCTTTTATAATAAAAACTACAAGTCAAATATTAAAGATTTTAAAAGTTTTCCATACTTGGCGCCTAAATTTCACAGTATGCGTTTTCCTGTGACTGTCGACGATGCTGTTTGGGATTTACATGAAATTGCTTTTCAATTAGTCGAGTCGAGAGCAGCGAGCAAGATGCTTGTGAATAGATGTAGAACTTGCGGGATAAGTCCTATATGTGCCAGGAGTTTAAATCTTTTTGCCTTGGAAAACAAGAAGCTCCTGTTAAACTTAAACCTGGTGACAGGATTGCAGGTAAGAACTAAAGGATTTTGGAGAAGAATCTCCCTATAGAAGGAAAAGTTAAATAGATTGGTTTGCTTGCAGTTGGAAGAAATTCCCAATGTGTCGAATTTTATATGCTTACGCTGCCAGTCAGATCTCAGGTCTACCATTTCATTCAGAAGACTTTGTATTAAAAGCTTTAGAAAATGCACCTCAGTTAATAAAGACTCTTCGTCAAGTGAATCGGAAAGAAATGAAAGCTTAAAAGATAAATCGCAGCTACAAAGAAAAGACTATTCAAGGGCACCAGAAGAAACCTTTCAAGTATTGATTGAAGAAGATCCGACAAACCAAAATCTAATTTGTGACTCTGAAGAAGAGCAGCTATTGGCGGTAGCTCCAAAATCACAATCCACAAAAACCAAAACGGACGACCACCAGAAGAAAATACCCCGAAAGGTTCAAAAGCCGAACCTTAAGAGCAAGTCGATCAACCAGATCTACATCTGCGAGTTGTGCGGCACTCATGCCACATCGAAAAGCAATTTGGATCGACACATTCTGAAGCACACAGGGGAGCGGCCATTTGCATGCGAGTGAGATAACAACCTTTCTTGAATTTCAAATTATATGTAGATATACATATATGTATTTTAATATAAAACATTTTCCAGGGAATGCGGTGCTAGGTTTCGAAGCGCTGCAGAGCAACGTGATCATCGTCGGGTTCACACAAAGGATCGTCCATTTGGCTGCCGCTTCTGCGACCGGAAATATGTAAGCTATATGGGGAGACTAAAGCACGAGAGGATTCATACCAATGATCGACCATTTGTCTGCATTGAGTGCGGGAAGACCTTCTCTGACGCTTATGTACTCAAGAACCACATGCTCATCCACTCGGGTGAGAGGCAATTTAAGTGTGATCTTTGCGATCGATCCTTTCAGAGGAAGTCCCATCTTGTGACCCACTACCGCTCGAAGTTGCATCAGAGGAATGTACAAAAATAGTAATTTTGAAAAAAAAGTAAAATCTTTAAAAGAAATAAATATTTTAACATTTTATATTATACATTTTATAAAAATAAATTGTGTAGTTTAGTACCCACAGAGTTTAGTTCTAGTTTTTTTTTTTTTGTTTTTGGGCAAGAAAATATAGCATAATTAAATCCATAATTCTGTAAACATAAAGTTAGTTTTCAATCAATTTTAATTATTTTATTAAACATACTACATACGATAAGTGGCTTCATTTATTGTTGAATGATCGTTCCAAAAGTAAAAAAAAGTAAAAGTAAACGTAAAAGTCTATGTGTTTTTTTAAATTTCATTGTACAATTTTTATTTTTAAGGAAGCGTATTCTTTTTTAACTGATAATTTACAATTTTTATCTAAGTATCTAAAAAAGTATCTCTCTATTTTTATCAAGTTTTTTGTTTTCATTTTTTCCAGTGTTGATTACGTTTCGTGGTGAATGGAAGAATATTGTGACTGGCTGGCCAATGTTTAAAATTGGAAATATTCTTATTAGTCCTAATTAATTTTCTAAGATGTTTCGAAATCTCTGTCGCTTGTGTGCCACCAACACGAGCACGACCAATGCCATAAAGTTGTTCTTGAATGACACTAGGATAATACTGCATGATATTAAGTTACTCACCGGTGTCCTGGTAAGTACAGAATCTGTAACAGTCACATCATCGACTAAAATTGTTCGTTTCCAGCTGCAATGCGAGCCCGACTTGCCCGACTGGATGTGCGAGACATGTCAGCAGGATCTGAAGAGCGCCATCGACTTTCGGGAGCGATGCCTGAAGAGTCAGAAAGTTTTCGAGGAATCAGAAGCCGAAATTTCCTCTGGCTCCTCGAAAGCCACCTCCCACTCCTTATCCACCCGCCTGGGATGTGTGCGCCGAAGTACTCGTTGTCGTTCTAGAAATAACAAAAGTGCCGAGCCCGTGCTGCCACCCACTCCCATGGAAGTAATGATTAAGCTGGAGAGCCTGAGCAACAGCGATGGAGACGACGACGGCGTCGATCATTTGGACTCGAGCCACGAGGCCGACCTGGAGCGGGCCATCAAGGAGATGTCTATATCAGAGGAGGAGGAAGACAAGCCACTCATAACGAACAGGGGCAAGCGTCGAGGTCGTCCCAAGAGTGCAGTGAAGCTCAAAAAGCGGCCCAAAGCTTCGCTCACGGTGTTCTTTTGTGACCAGTGCGGTAAAAACATTACAGGCAAGTCCTCCTTCGATCGCCATCTGCGTAAACACAGCGGCATACGGCCCTTCCAGTGCCAGTAAGATTAATATTATGACTATCTTGAATAATATATAATTTAAATGGGAATTCCTTTACTAGAATTTGCCCAGCCCGCTTCCTCTCCGCCGGAGAGCTCAAGGGCCACCAGGTGATGCACACTGGAGACAGGAACTTTCCGTGCCGCTACTGCGACCGATCCTATGTCAACTACAGTGGTCGCATGCGGCACGAACGCACCCACACCAACGATCGCCCCTTCGCCTGCCACCAGTGTGGAAAAACCTTCACCAATTCTTACATTCTCAAGAACCATATGCTCATTCACACGGGCGAGCGTTTATTCAGGTAAACTCTTTAAAAAAATATATAGAAATGTTTAAAAATAAATCTGTATCATGCAGATGCGAGCTGTGTCAGAGGTCGTTCGCACGCCCCACGCACCTCAACACGCACTACCGCTCGAACACACACAAGCATAACGTGGAGAAGGCGAAGGTTGGCTCGGAATCCAGTCAATCGCAATCCCAACCAAACGAGCACAGCAAGCTCTCATCGATAGCAGAGACGCAACCGGAGGAAATAACTTATATGATAGAAGTGCCTTTGCCGTTGGATCAGAAGCAGGAGGAAGATACTTCTCTGGAACTGGCAACTCTGGGTACATCAACTTTAGTCTACAGTACAAATTAATGTGTTAACGAAAAAATCTCAATAATAACAAAGGCCAAATTGCATTTTCTTGTTTTTGTTAAAAGGTATACTTTTCAGGGCATTACAAAAACATGAGTTTAACTATTTATAGTGCTTATTGTTTAATAGATGACATACATGTGTACGTTTACAATTTGGTTTAGTTTGAATTAAATTACTAAGCCGTTTTCATCATGGTTTATTTAGGAAATAATTATCCAAAATAATTCATTTCTTGTTAAATTTTATCGATCAATTTATAAAAGAATACATTTTTTAAAACGCCAGTTAAAAGGGGCTAAAAATTCTTACGCAATTGTTTAAAGGATTCACCCTTCAATACCCAGTTACCGTTGCATTATATTATTTAACTTATTTTAAATAAGAGGCTAATCATTACCCGCCTTTGGGGACAGTTCAAGCCTGAATGCGCTGTGCCACTCGCACTGTTACTGGATTTGAAGCTTCAGTTTATTCTTGATTAAATTCTAACACATTAAGTTTTGTTTTGCACAAATGCTTTTTGGCTTGCGCCATCGTCATCCTTGCCTTGCTCATTCATATACTTATCAGAACGCCTCCAGTCTAGATGTGCAAACTGTCCTCCTCTTCCACCTTGAGTTCTCGCTTCAGCTCATGCTCCATGGCCTGCTTCATTTCGGCCTTTTCCAGGTGCCGTTTGTGCACTCCCGAACGGAAGTGGGTGCTTAAATGAGTGGGTAGCATAAATGACTTGTCGCAGAGTTCACATCTGCAAGAATTCGGAAAGATTTTTATAAATTCGTTACGATTCTTATTAAAGTTGAGACAAATTGTACTACCTGTAGGCTCGCTCGCCGGAATGTATCAGCATGTGATTCTTAAGGATGTAGCCAGTGGTGAAGGCCTTGCCACAAGTGCCACAAACATAAGGGCGTTCGTTAGTGTGGGTACGTTCGTGCTTCACACGTGTTGTATAATCAGTGAAACAGCGGCCGCAGTACTGGCATGCAAAGGGTCGCTCGCCGGTGTGTTTCCGCATGTGGCGCTTAAGCTCTGATGTGGTGCAGAACCTCGACTGACAAAGCCTGGATATGGAACATCATTTTATAATATTCTATTTTTTTAAAGCATCTTTAGAATGTAAATGCTGCAGAGACTGTACTTACTCGCATCCGTATTGTTTGTCTCCGCGATGGCGACGGCAATGTAGCTCAAAGGCCATTCGACCCTTAATATGGTTACCACATTGATCGCAAATGTAAACTCCTCCGGTTGCACGGCGACGTGAGTCGTCGCCACGGTTTTTAGGCTTTGGTGGCAGACTCGACTTCTTTACAACTATGTTCTCGTGCTCATATTCATCATCCAAAACATTGTCAAGAACGGCCACTTCATCGTCCGAGTCGTACACATACGATTCAGCGACGTCCCCAACAATCATTTCAGCAGCTTCCGCGTCAACCTCCACATACTGCTGCTTCTCGTCGTCGTCGGCTAGAAGGGACTCATATTCGGCCTCTTCAATAATGGAGGTCTCATCATAATCGCCAGCATTGCCCTCGGCCACCTCAAAATAGACATTCTCGTACTCGATCTTTGAATTGTCGTATTCAATCTTTGAGGTGTCGTATTCAATCTTGGAGCCGTCGGCTATAATCTCCATCTTCGGATTCTCATACTCAATCTGTTGATAGGTTTGTATATCTTCATTCTCTTCTGGTTTCGAGCCCTTAACCACCTCCTGAACTTCCTCTCCCATGACGGCGGCACGGTAAAATGGCGAGATTCCCTGGCGCTGCTCCTCGGTCAATCCCTGGAGGAGCTCTCTTTGTGCGGCGAGGCAGCGCTCTCTCAACTTTATGGCCGACGCCAATTCCATGTTGCAGCATTCGCAAATCTGGTCCGGCAAACATCCATAGTTTTCGAGCTACACGAATCATGCAACGATCTGCGTTAGCTTGGAATTCTACAAATTTAGAACAAAAAACATTACCCGCAGACCAGTGAGGGCCTCGATGTTGTCGACCATCTTTGTGTTAGTCCTGTCGAATATTTTCGGTGATCTTTTGTTGCTCGCGTACTTTCCGCAGACGCGGCACGTGCTCTTTAGATGTTTTAGCGCAGACTTTGACATTTTTTTCGCCTGCGATTCGAAATAAAATGTTTTTCAAGATAATTGTCAACCAAAATATACGAAACAACGCGTCGCTTCTTCTTGCTATTCGCCACGAAACGTACCATGGGCGTACAGTTCGTGCATTTTTAAAGGGATGTACAGTGTTGGAAACCACTGTGAATGTCAATTTTTTATTTTGTGGGGAAATAACTCTTCATATAAAGCTTATTCTTCTCTTTAGGTAATTATAATATTTTTATGTTTATTATATTTTTGCTCCCAACATTGAAGTTTTGGTTTTAACACAAAATTACGTTTTGAAATTCCTAAATATAATCCCTTGAATTTGTCGTTTTGACTACGTCTGTGGTTCAGCGAACAGCTGCTCGGAATGCCGACAACAACAACCACGGCGCCATGGCAAACTTGGATTGGTGAGCTTTTCTTACAAAAATAAACAATTAAATGTTAATAAATAAATCATTTGATTCTAGGGTTTGCGTGCCACGATGCTACGAAGTCCGGAGGAACTATCTGGCTGGTCAGATTACCTCAGACCATCCGCTAAAACAGCAAACAGTCTCGGTGAGTTTTCGGTACAACGCCCCTGGCAGTATTATTATTAAATAAAAAAACGCCTAATCAGGTAGTGGACAGCAATCCCTTGAGCCGGGCTCTAGAGGGAACCGACCCTCTTTCGCAGTTTGCTCGACTGGATGAGGAACGAGACGATCCGCTCAGCGAATCGAGAGGAGAATTTGTGAGTAGCTCTACTCAAGTCTGAATTGAATCCACCATTAAGCAAGCTTGTTGCACAGGATCTGAAGTCGAAACGCCGAGATCGCGACAGGGTAGATCAAGAGGATAATACTCTACAGTGGAGCTCAAGGCGCCTGGGCATTCTCAACCGGTTTACCACCAATGAGAAGCTTTCCCTCTCCACCAGCTTTCTTGTGACATCTGGAAGTATGGATGGAGGCAGCGATAGTAGTAGGATATATTATAAAACCTTCCTAATGATTAAAAATAACCTGTAGTCTGTTGTTGCAGTCAAAGTGCAGACCGTTGTGGCGGACAAGACCAGATACCGCCTGGAGCAGCTGGACCACTTTGATGACGGCAGCATGCGCCACATGATGGATCTCACGCAACAGGAATACATACAAAGATTTGAGCAGCTGAAGCAGGAACTTATTCAGTCCTGGCACAGCGACCAGCGAGTCAAGGCACTCAAGATAGGTATTCAGTGTGCCAAGATGCTGGCGGACACCACGGTGTTGCAGTTTTATCCCAGTCAGTATGTACTGATAACGGACATCCTGGATGTCTTTGGGAAATTGGTTTACGATCGACTACGATCCAAAGCATCCGGAGATCTGGGAGCATCTGCGGCTGTTCTGGAGCGGGAGCGCGAGACTGCCCGGGATACCTGCCAGAATTGGTTCTACAAAATCGCCTCTATTAGGGAGATACTGCCTCGTTTGTACTTGGAGATGTCCATATTTAAGTGTTACGAATTCATGACATCCAATCGCGATGAGTACGAAAAGCAGCTGCACCGACTGACGCACCAGCTGCGGGGAATTGCCGATCCCCTGGTATCTACTTACGCCCGTTCCTATTTGGTACGCGTGGGTGTGTCGCTGACGTCTAGCAAAGGGTACATCAGAGAAAACTTTAGTGATTTATTTGTTATATATCCTCAGGTAAAGATTATGCCACTGATAATACCATTTTCTATACTCTTCTATATTTAATTCATTTGGCAGATTTTTCGCTTCGTAGCTCGCTTTAATTTACATCCGGAAATCGTCACCGCCACCTCCTATCTTCAGTTGTACGCCCCAGCCTTTGATTACATGCTGCTTTGCTTGGTCCATAAATGTGAGCTTTACACACAGGATATGCTAAAGGAATGCAAACATCTAAAGAATAAGTAGATTAGATTATTATTGTAGAATGATTTGGTTTTAAACACAAACTTCTGCATTCCAGCGGAGCTATTTTAATGTCAATTTTGAGTTCCTTTACGTCGGAGTTTGTTGCCGCAAATGCTCTCGAGTTTATTGAGCTGATAAACGCCTCGGACACACCTGGAATTTCAAAGTCTCAGCTTCTGCGCTTGCTAGGATCATGCGTTAGTACTTGTGCTCCCCTGCAAGAACAGCGTGTTACTTTTCTAAAGGTGGCCTTTGAAACCATCAACAAACAGACGGATCCAAATGAATACATAAACAGTGTGGAGACTTGGGCCACCTTCGTTTCTCAGTATTTTACGGTAAGCTTACATTTTAATTTTTAATAAAATATATTCCTAATAATATCCTTATAATGCTATAGATACATGAAGTAAACCGACTTCTGGGACAACTAAATTCGCGAATGTTTCTGGGCAACGCCTATGAGAAACACTACTCTCAACTACAAAACATTCTTACCAGGATAATGCAGAACTATCGCAGTATAGAGCTACTGCTGATACAACCCAACTTTCTGCCGTACTTGGATCTTTTTCATAAGGATTCAGTTCGCGTGGAAGTTTGTAAGAACATTCTCAGTTACTATAAACAAAATAGCGAGGAATACACCTGCGATGCTGTAGTCACGAATGCATTGATGTATATAGGAAAGATTCTAAATGATTCTGTAAAGTAAGTTATCCCTATTCTATTCTCTGAAAATAGTTATCCCTAAAAAGATTTACCCTTTTTTTTAGCGCCCTGACCGTGGAGGACGAGCGGCGCCAGATCTCCCAACTCGTCAATGTTTTTATTCACAAAGTGAACTTCGGCAGTGATCTGGAGCGTCAGTTGGGTTTTTTTGTGGAGGCCAGAGGCACGTTTAGTAACTTGGATGCTGTTTATGGCACTCTGGTGCAGGCAGCCTGTAAGTTGGCCACTCGGAATCGATCAAAGTCAACTGGATTTGTCAAGGCGTGCATCGCCTATTGTTTCATCACCATTCCCAGTATAGGATCTGTCCAGCAACAAATGGATTTGTATTTATTGTGTGGACAGCTAGCTTTGCGGTATCTTTGCTTGGGACAAGGTAGGTTTTGAAGCGCATTTTTAAACTGTTTTAATAAACTATAGATATCCGATAGCCGATGCCTGCTTCGAAGCCGCATTGCAGTTGGTAAATGACTTGCCAGCAGCCACTGTAGACTTTGATGGGATGCCTCGCAGCCTGGAGAGGTATCTGGTCTCCTATCTTTGCAATATGCTGGCCACCTTGATCGTGGTTCCCGACAGTCCCGAGCAGGGCGTCCTATATTTCCTTCGTTTACTGGTGGACGTGGTGGGCCGCCATGAATTCAAGTCAGACAGCACTGCCCGAGTTACCATATACCTGCATGCCCTAGATATGCTATATGTTCAGAGTCTGGAAAAGTTCCCCTATCACATTCAAGGCGGTAAGAAATCATATTTTTTGTATTTTATAGCCAATTTTTAAAGTTTTATTTCATTTTGCAGTTGTGTCCAATGATAATCTCTATGGACATGATCCAAAATTCTTAACGGAGGTGAACAACATGTGCGCGCAGGTTGTGGATGCCATTCTCCTGCAACTTAAGTCTTTGGGAATGGCTCAACAGGTGCGGGCTCAGGCTGAGCTGTCCTTGGAGCTCTTCTTGCGGATAGTTCGGTACGCTGACCTGGAGAAGGAAAGCGTCGTTCAACTGGCCGTTAAACTTTGGCTGTTGGCCAACAAGGCTCAATCCCAAATGGATGAAAATACACTTGTAGGTAGAACTAGACACATTGTAAGACTTATCTAAAATCGTATTTTATTTTCAGCCCCAGACATTGCGAAGTGTTGAGATTTTATACAAACAAGTTGTGGACTCCTCGCCCCGGCAGGCTCAGTCCATTGCCAACCTACTCATGCGAATGCGAAACAGTTGAGATGTTTGCTAGCAAAAATAGTCTATAGGCTAGGGTTTAGCTTTTATTATGAGCATGAATCTTTTACGGATTCATCTCAGGATTTTACACTGTATGTATGTGCTTTTTCGCCGATGACAAGGAACTGACAAATTTTGTATTCATTTTCTGTTCAATATAAGTAAGTTACACCTTCCGAAGACTTGTAAAGTTTCGACCTGCAATTAGTAATAAATTAAATACCATTTAAAGACATTGAAGCTGATTATTATGTTTATAAAAGCGGTGTTGTTCAATTGATTTATTAGGCCCGTTTGCTCAGCTCATTCTCAAGTTCAAGCTGTGCACTTAGAGAATTTTCTGAATTTAAAATTGCGGCTGTGCTGTTGGTACAGATATTACAATCGAGTGTAAAAATATGATGTACATTTGTGTTTATATATTTATTTGTTTACGTTTTTTTGGTAGTTTAAAACAGTTGAGGCATTTCTGTCGTTGAACTTTATAAATAAATGGCTATAAAACTATGGCTCGACTGGTGAAGTGGAATACCGATTCAAAATCAACAAACTTAAACGAAAGCACTATGAATATTTATGAATTATGTAGAAGTATCACTACATGTGTAAGACATATATATATAATATATATAGTATCGGCGCATAGGAAAATATTTGTATGATTTTACACGGGAAATATATATTATCAGGTGTGCTAATTAATATCCATCTTGTGAACACACTCATGTGAAAATGTATTGTATAAAAAGCTTGATTTGCAGTCTAGCGTTTTCTCTGTGGTCTCCTTAGAAGTTAGTCTCCTTAAACTCCTTGGACTGAAGAATGGGGGATACATCATCCCCGACACCGTTTTTGTTTACGGCATCACTATCCTGCACCTCCCCACCGCCCACTGTATACGCCATCACGGTGGCATGGTCCAGTTTCCCGGGCAGGGCCACAAAGGCACTACTATCGACAATTCGCTTTCTGGCAGCCCGGTGCTGCATCCGATTCAGCTGCACTTCCCGCTTGGCTCCGTCAGGTCCCGTGGAGAGCTTGTAGAAGAGTTCTCTCTGCTCCAGCGTCTTCCGCCTGGCGGAGGTGATCATTCTCACGAAATCGATGAGCAGGTGACAGAGTTTTCGGGCCGAAGCGCACGGCGAGAATGTGCCGTTTATGCCGTAGCTCAGCAGATCCTCCAGGCGGTACAGGGTGAGCGCGTGCCGCTGAGGTCCAGTCACCAGCGGCAGGCCAGAGACCGACCTTGGGATGCGCTGAGGCAGCGCAGTGAGCGGTGGTGCGGGCACTACCCCCTGCCGAGGTTCGATTAGGGTCTGAGATCGCATGTACTTGGGCCGGCTGGGCGTATTGCTGGGTGGACTGACCGGCTTGGCCTGCCGCGTGGGCCGACCTACTGGTGGCGTCGAGGGATGCAGGCGTGCATAGATCGCTGAAGCGCTCTTGTTCTGTCGCTTTGGAGCCAGATTTGGCAGCTTTCCTTGTCCTGCCGTCTGCAGCTTTACATCTGGGGTCCAGGCTTCCGCAAACTTGCCCACCACCGGGTCAAAGTTATCACTGATGCCATCTGAAGTGAGAAACACAATGTCCCCTCGTTCAATGCAGCTCATCGAGAAGGTGAGGTTGCTCAACTCTGGCTTGTTACCATCCGCGGGTCCCAGCGCCCCCAGGGCGTCGCGCATGTCCCGCATAGAGCTGATGTCGTGGGAGGCCTGCGTCAGCTCCCGCACTCCATGTTTCTTGGAATAGATGTAGCCGAGCGAGTCACCCACATTGCAGGCGCAGACCACAAACTTGCCCGGTTCTCCTTCCAGCGGCAGTACGACGGCAATGGTCAGGGTAGAGAGGGCGCCGCCCACCTCGAGAATGCAGCCGTGACCTTCCCAGAGACTTCGCAGAAGATTCACAAACACCTCCTGCGTTGTGGTAGCTCTACTCTCCAGTCCCTGGCCAAAAACAGTCCGGTCCAGGTAGTCCAGACACCCATGGACGGCCGAGCGGGCTGCCAAACGAGCTCCATCACCTGCAAATGGAATATATGTTAGATGAGATGATTTAAGATGAATGCCCCAGTTGACTGACCCCAGTTCACGCCATCAGCCATGGCCATGGCAGCGGAATCTCCGCGTACCACCATACCATAACAGTCTGCTATGGGGTTGCCCATAGGCTCCTTGGTGAGCATGTTGTTCTCGTACAGAGAGACCGAGATTCCGTAGGCAAAGTCACATTCCTTGCGCCAATTGTCCACTCCTGCAACCACCGTGGATGCAGTGGAGCCATCTAGGTTGCTTACTGCCTCCCGAAGCAGGCGCTCCCGCTCCAAGTTAGAGCCACCTTCAGAAGAGCCCTCAGCCTTGGAGTTAAGTTCGTTTCTGTTGTTCTGATTGGCGGTTTTGCTCCCAGAATCTGTGATAGCCGAAGACCCCGCCAGGTTGGCTATGCTAGTCTTTGAGTTCTTGCGAGATCGCATGCCAGGGACCGGGGCAGATCCGGTTGGTTGCTCAGTGCTGCTCTGCCGCCGCGATCCTGTCGGAGGTCTACCAAATTTGTGGGACAACCTAGTGGGGTTCTGTTGTATTGCCGGCACCGGATTCGAGCTCTTCCGAACTCCATAGCTGTCGTCATTCTCCTGCTGCGTGTCTATGAAGTCGATATCATCCGCAAAGCTGGTGCTAAGGTGGAGCTTGGATCGCTTAATGCCGGTGAGACCCTCATCTGGTCCTGTGCAGGCTGCTGTTATCGAGCAGGGTCCTGCTTCGTAGCAGTCCAGTTTGAGGACGGGCAGATCGGTTGGATTCCGTCCATTGTAGATCTCCGGACCAGTCACGAACTCGCGACGCATCCGCCTTTAAATGAAGTGAGAAATAAAAGTTAATTATTTAGAACTCAACTTGTAATCAACTTATGAGACTCACCCCTCTAGATATTTTGTGATAAAGCTGCCATCCTCATCCTCGTGGTCAGAGGCCCGGCGGCGACCCTCGCGAGGCTCTGCTATGAAGCTCAACTGGCGGAAGTAAGTGGTGACCTTCTGGCGGAGCGACGGCATCTTAGAAGATGCCTCCTCTTTAATTAGATTCTCTTTAATTGTCAGGAATTGATGCTGGATGGGGCCCGGGAGTATGGAGTTAAGGGTTCACTGGTTCGTTCACCTCATCGGCGGTAATTGTTGTGGGAGTGACTGCCTCCAGCTGCAAAGAGAGTTTAATTTGTGACTTCATTTAATTTTCAATAAATTATGCAATTAAATGGGACAGGGTAAGCACGGAAAGAATTCCAGGCCTGCATAGCTAATGACAGGATGTGCTTTTGCCGCCGCAGGCACTGCGTCCTTCGTCCGCCCCCACGCAGTCCTCGCTCATTAGTCGCCGGTCGTGGTAGACAGTCATCCCTGGAGGAGTTTTTAGTCAACTCATTACGAATGCGGACACAGTCCTATTCCAGGATAGGCACTGGGTAGAACTCGGTGCAGATTGCAGTATTTTAGAGATACTAATTGTCAGTTTTATTGAAGAAATTGTGCAGTAAGAAGGGCTATTAAAGAAAAAACCCCTCGTACTATATAAAGATTAATGCATGTCTGCCATGTCTGATATCTTGGAAGCAATTACCCTTGTGAGGGATTAAGAGTGATGCACTCAGCACCAAGTTTTCATCTTCAACAACAATTGCTTATCCAGCATCGTTACGCAAACCGATTTATTTAAATAGAAAGCAACAATAGTAGCCTCTGCAAGTGGCTTTACTGACAGGGCCAATTAAATACAATCCCTGGCTATATAACAACAATATTATACTGTATGAACTACTAAAGTATGTTGCATAAGTCTATAAGTAGTTAAAAGTAGACTTTTAATGGCCAGTTATGTGGGATGATCTTTTATAATCGAAGGCTCATTCAAGGTCTTATCCGAAAGTATCGCGAATTTTATTAGCTTTTGCATTACTCTTATTTTTTCACTCAATTATCAATCAATTAATTGTTTTATTTCATCAATAAATATCGTCGATACCAGTCGGTATTCTTTGAACTTGAACTTTACGCACGATTCGATCAATGATCGACTAATTCAATTGGCATTCGATGGCCACGAGATGCAGAATATCTTGGCAAGATTCGGGTGATTTTGTGTCACTAGTTCCGAATTTCCCGGAAAATTTAAAGAAAAAAATGTACAGTCTTTATCTTTATACCAAGTACGAGGTTTTATAGTCCCATGTTTAGATTTGAGATCTGGCTTGCTCCAGTTTTCCGAGCCCTCTTCAAGGCAATCAAAGCCACTGTAGTGGAACACAAAGGGCCCTTTAATAAAAACCACTTCTTGATTGCTTGAGTAGATCGTGTTACTTCATATTATTCAATCTCTCTGACAATATCAACTGACACCACGTGCTGTAAAGATCAAGAAAAGCCGATCCAGATCCAGAGGAGGGTCTCCTAAGTATTCAAAATAAATGCTATTGTTTCTATAAGCATTCTGTCATCACAGCAACTAAAAGCCAATCAAAACCATCGAAACTTTCATCAGACAAAGCTAATCAAGCGGAAAAATGTGGAAATCGTAATGAGGTGAGAGAAATCGTTGTGCAAGACTTTGGAATACCGACAAAGTGAATAAATGTGTAAATATATGCATAATATCTGATGTTGTGGCACTGATCTCGTGTGTTTCTCGAACTTTGTTTATATTCAGAAACCAAAATAAACCGATCGTACTTCCTACAACTATAAATAATAGCTTTGGGGCTGGTATTTATAGGAACCTCCTCCCGTGGTTTCCACTGGTTTCTAGCTGACTGACTGATTTAATTAGAATTCTTGTTTGTTCATTGGGTTAATTTGATGCAATGGAACCCGCAGTATAAAGACTCTGCCCCCAGGCAGGTTCTTTCATCGTTGTACTTCATCTGTGCATATTAAAGCCAGTATGTACATACATAAGAAGGGCTGCCCCTGGAGGAGGAGTCTGTTGCACTGCCATGAGATGTGCTAAGTCCATAAGCAAACAAGCTGTCAGCCAGCAAAGCTCTGGGTTATTTGAGGCACGAAGACTAGACTGTGTTTGCACTTGAAACATTTCTTTTATGAGCCAAGTTGGAGACCAAGTTTGGCGACACCAGCGGTGGAATCTCAAGGTGCATTTGGTGGGGAAAGATGCAGTCTTAGCACGACGCAGCTATGGATCCAACAACTAAAACCAAGAAGCTCCACGAAGCAGAGACACGAAAGTGAAAATTTATTGCAATCTTTGCGTGTTTTTGTTTTTGAGAAAGAAAGTTAACAAACGATGGAAAAGGAAACGAAATAGAGCTGTTTGCATTTAGGTATTGAGGTTAAGAATAAAGCCTTGGTGAGGCACACATACTGGTGAATATTTAAGATGATTCCATATATGTATATTCCATAATATATACTCTACATAAAGCCCATCAACGACAATTCAAACACAAAGAAAAATATCATCCAATGCAATCTTTTCTTACTCAAGACTTAGCCCCATTTTATCATTAAAAAGACATTAAACAAATATTAAAAAAACATCTGCTATCTGAAATGGAGGATAAAGAGGAAGTTCTTCTATAGAAGTCATTATAAAAATTGAAAAGCTTTGGCTTAAACTCCCAAACAAACGGCGGTATGTATTTAGACAGGTGTCGAATAATTGTGAAAAGCTATCAGCTGCATAAATAATCCTTTAGACCCGCATGCAGTCCAGATCAAAAGCGTCAGCCTATGTACGAGCCAACAGGGATTTATTAAAAGCATACAATTAACATTTTTTACATAATTTAAATTTTAAAATCACGAAAACCATAAGTTCCATAAACCATAAAGGAGTTCCTTCAACTCTACCGGGTATTCGAAATACGGAGGCTATGTGCCCTTCCCTGTTCGCGACGACATTTCTTGTAAATTGCCACATAATTGGCGTGTTTGGTGCTTATTTTGTGGTGGGGCTGGATGCGTGGTATGCCTCATTTCCTGTTGCAACAATTTGCATAAATGTGACGCTGCCATCAAGATCTGAAACTGCAACTGCAGCTCAATCCAAGTCAATTGAAAGAGCGACGAAGCAAAAGCCCCCTTAGGAGGCTTAATGCGTGCTAAAAATGTGAGGCAGCCTTTGTTTTCGTGCAGGACCCAAATAGAAGTTCCCTTTACACTCCCAGCGACCCCCAGCTGCACCCACAAGTGCATGTTTCCTTTCGCGCCACTTGGCCTGGTTTGGTACATTTGAAAAGTCGAATACAATAAACTGAAAGTGGAGCAAGGCGAGAATAGAGCTCCAAAGAATGTTACCCATATGCAGTGATGGGCGTGTGAAGCCTATTTTTTTGGGCCAAACAAACAAACTTTTCTTCCATCAAGCCATAACCCGGATTTAAAGATAGAACCCCTTGCCAAATTGTATAATTTATTATTGCAGATTATTTCTACGAAGCCTAGCAAACATCTGGCATTATAATGTCATTTATCAGATACCTTTCCTGGCCGCCAGGTAACTTCTATGCGAATATAATCCTGCATGAATAAATTAAATTAAAAGCCAACATAGTACTGTCTTCGGTTACGGCTCAATGTCTGATGTCTGGCATACAAATCACCTCCACCTCGCACCCCCACCGGCCGGAGATGCCACATTATGCAAATATAAACTACCAATCAGGAGCCAGAGTGGCGTTTCGGGGCAGGAACCGGACACTCAACTCTCATATTAAATTAAATGTTAACAGCAACCAGCAACAAAGACAATCCGAATGGAGAACAGAGTCAAGGCCCAGGCCTCGGGCCAAAGAACTCTGGCGAACAAAGAAACTCCTCGTCTTGTCCAACTCATTTTCCAATTTCTGTTGGTTTCAAATGTCTCTCCCATGGCGGTTTTAATAAAGTTCAGTTCTATGGGGTCTTGGCCAGAGTATTAGTCATGTCTTGTTTATTTTATATAATATAAAAAATAAGACAATTAAAATAACTGTTTCATGTTTTTTGAAAGTTTTCTCAATTGGAATCTTTGGATTTGAGATCAATTAGTTGGTGGGCAGCCCACATCTCCTTTCTCCGTGAATAGTTTCAGCTTTAATTGAATATTTTTTTGTGGTTGTTTGCTTATTCATTCGCCAGACTGATTAGTCATTGAAGACCTAGCTTGGATCGAGACAGAGAAACCCGAAACCACCAGACCAGACCAGACTCTTACCACACCAGACTCTTAACCACAAAGCTTTAATTTGCTATTTTTTTGTCCTTTTATTTAAAATCTCCTATATGTTTATTCTTAGCTAGTACTCCTAATGGATGCTCCTCATCAAAGACAATAAATTCTATTAATGTCCCCTGGCAAATTGCTTCTAATGAGCTGGAAACTTTTCTGGCTGACTTTTCCAATCTACCAGAAAGCCACTTGGTTATCTCTTGTTGGCTTTAAGCAAACATGGAAATTCTATACAGAGATCTCAGCTACCATAAGTGAGGCTAATGCATTTCAGGAAAAATGAACTCTTTTCAGGCCCGGCCAAGCAAACAAACTTCAAGTTGCCCGGACCAACTACGTCATAAAACAGCCATCGGCATCCCCATCTCCGTTTCCACCGAGACAACAAAGGATGGTTCTTCTGCAGGATGGGGGAGAAGTGGTGGCGTCCAGACAAAACAACTTTGTGCAACCCCCGCTCTTGTGGGAACAGCCAGACGGCAGCCAGGAGTCTGTGGGTACGGGCCTCGATGAAATAAAAAGAAATCGAGGAAAACAAATATTTATTCTAGGTATAGTTTATATTTGAATATGAAGAAATTAAAGCTGGTGATGGGTGTTTAATATATTTAATTTTATATGAAATATAAGGTAAGTATAATATTACTAGTCTAGTAAGTCTAATTACGAACCTATGTTAATACCTATCGAATATTATTGACTTACAACTTATAATTTATAAGTTATATCCTATTTAGAGAAAAGATGACTTGCAGATGACTGAATTGAGTAATTCATTAAACAACCTAAAATAGGGGTTAAAACCTTGTAAAAAATGAAACCTTCCGAGAGTCTGTCATGCACGTCACCACTTTTTCTATCAAGTTTCCGGCGCCAGGAATACTCTTGCCATTGGGCCGATGTGGAGAATCGATTTTGTGGCATGACATGCCAGTTATCCTGCTTTGTGGTATGTTGAATACTAGCATATACATGTATTTAACACATACCCAAGCAATTACCAATTTAAAGCTTTAATCTAAGGCAGGATTCTCTTATACAATCATCAGGATTATTATTTTTTTAGATAAATGAGTTGGTCATAAATATATGTATATTTTTACATATAATACCGATAAGCTCCCAACAAAAAGTAAAGCCAGTTATTGGCACATAAACGCTGAAAACCGGTTATTGCAACAACGAGGTCTGAGCTTATTTGTTTTCATTGTTTTTGTTGGAGCAGCTGAGATTTTGCAGCTGCCCATGACGAAAAAATAAAGATGAAGCTTTAAAACCACGACAGGTGAATCACGGGAGTGCCCACCCTGGCGTTCTTTTTCAATTTGGGGGAAAATAAGTCAAGAACTAACAATAAAGACAGGGCCAAGTTGAAAGACAGCAAGTACACGCGGAAACAAAAGCTCAAAACAAAACGCCACAAAAACAAGGCGGGGGGAGGTCACAAAAATCGATACGATACTGTGGGCATACGCACAGAACTTCATAATGCACTTACATATTTACATTAATTGGTATTCACACTCGGTTCTCGTTTTTTATGTATATTTTTGGTGTCACTTGTGGGTTGTTTTTCTTATCGCTGCTTTTACATATGTTGCCGCCACCGAGAAAGTATAGTATTGTTGTTTTTGTGCGTGCGTGCGTTCCGTTGGTGGTGTGTATAAATATTTTGGGACTCCAAGGGTAGCACCAGATGGTTATCTTTTGATTACTTCTTGGGAATTAGACAAGGTTTGCACCGGAGAGTATTGCACTGCCCGATATTGTAAACTAAATTCACGCCAGAACTCCAAACGACGTTATTCCGCGCGTAGTTGCTTTCCGTGTGGGAGCCCGAAGCTTATCGTCCCAAATTCCAATTGGTTTTAAACAATCCGCCACCCTGTTGTGCCTCAGTTTGCCACTTTGTTGCCCTAGTAGTTGGTCACACTAATGCTTAAAGGTTAGGTCACTTTAGCTTTTCTCTTGTTCGTGAACCGGGCGGAAATTCACGAACCGGTAAGAATGGAGTAGCAAAGCAAAATTGATAACGGATCCTTGTAAGCTATCTTAAAAAGTTAAATCTAATTTCTTAATCCAAATTAACTATCTAGAGTTTAAATAAAACAAGTATTTTGTGATTTATTTGTGTATTCTTATGAGCTCACATATAAAGCCATATATAATTTAAAAGTCATATAATAAGTGAATATAAAAATCGGTATAATTTTACACTAAAAGTGTGGTCGAAATGTAAGATTATTAAAGGCATTTTGGGCGGAATTAGTTACATTAGTTACAAAGATTCTGACGACTACTTAGACAAATGGATGGAATGCGAATTACACAGGTCGACATATTCGAACTTTTTTTCCTCAAGGATAATTTTGACTTCGGCATAATATTCTGGTTCCTCTTACTCAAAGTCTAGAGAGGATAAGGCTTGGATGCTATGGAAGTCAAAATTATATGTTGAGATTTTTTGTTCTTGACCTGTGTTCGTGATATTTCGTATTATTCGAATTATATGTAGCCTTGCAGGCTGCGAGACTGGCTATGGTGATGACGAGGCGGCTGATATCCCGGCTCCTGCATCTCCATTTGCATGACGAGGTTCTTCTGCTCACCACGGGCGTCAAATGCTTTCCTGGCCTCACGATGCAGTACCAGAGCGGCCAGGCCAAGTAGAATAAAGGTGACGACGGCTAGGGCGTAGGACCAGCCCAGAACATTGAACTTGGGGTACATGAGCCAGTCACGTCGGTAGGCGCATCCACCGAAGATGCACACGGCCAAGAACATAAACAGCGAGGAGGCGGCGGTCCCAATGTAGGAGAGACGCACCAGCAACCACTCGTACTGGAGGACGGGCTTCAAAGGCAGCCGAATTATGGTCAGCGACAACACAGTAAGGACGAGCATCACAATGATGAATGACATGGTAACAAAGCCCTGCACCGCCATGAGCCAAACGGGCAGCAGGTACTCACGGATCACATAGTACTCATGCGAGAAGATGTTGTGACATCCAGTAAAGGCCTTGGGGTAATGGTACTTGGGGTACACAAAGTCCTTGAAGCAATACTGCCAGAGACCCATGTTTTTGAAGCTGCTGCGGGTCTCCTCGTAAGATTCGATCCAATACGGCGAACAGAAAGACATCATCAGGGCGAAGAAGCCAGCGAAGCTGATGAGGGCTCCGAAGACGACTCCATTGGTGGCTCGGGGATAGTCACCCTTTTCCACGTAGTCTGTGGTGTCCTGCGATTGCTGTTTGTTGAGTTCGCGCATGCTGCTGGATGCTGTAGGACTCGCGTTCTTTGATGTTCCGGATCTGGGAGTTTGCGCAGCGTTAGTAATTCAATTTTACAAAAAACGCACACACCCAAGTGGCATCTATAATGAAAACAAATAGGTGCGGCTATCTAACCAGGGCTGGACAATCAAAACACTTGACTGGGGTTGAATGATTCCAACTGGACACGGTTAATAGTTTTGGTTCAGAAAAGCATTTAATAATTAAATTGTACTCAAAACTTGTGAGTTATTTCTAATTATTAAGTTATTTATTTATAAAAACGTATTTTATAAAAGTATCGATACTTATCGATTTGTCAACAGACGTTATGGTAAGATTGAGCCCGCGAGTTACGGTCACACTGTTAGCTTCAGCATTTTGCGCGGATCTGTAATTTTTATTTGCGAATTTTGGAATTGGTGTTTTGCAAAGTTTAAAGTGCTGTTTTGATCGACAATACGTTTTTCTATTACCTGTTGAGGTGAAATAATAATTAATCAAAAACTGGTAAGTTTGACTAACGTTTGGATAATTTCCAATAGATGCTCACATGTAAACGACGACACGCGAACTTGCGAATTTTGTTTCGGCCGGTTTTTTGTTGTTTCGCTACTGATATGTTGTGTATGTGTTAAACATAAATTAATTGTCGCAATTTCGCTATAAATATGGGAAACGTGCCGTCTAAAATTCGCGCTAACCAAATGGACAATATTGTCGGCAACAAAGTTGGCTGCTAGTATTGGTGTTGTTGCGTGTGTTGGCGCGGGCGAATGGCGGGCAATTGCACTCACACCAGCGCGCTATTTTTTGCAAACGTTTATGCGACACTTATTCCGATCTTGTTTACAATATTTTTCAGCAGAAAAAAAAAGAGAAATAAATACTATTGGAGTCTTTTGATTATGCCCCATAATTAATTAGCTTGGCCAAGTTCCTTTGGTGCTTAATATGCGAATAATAATGCCAGTGCGAATTGTAATAGAAAATTGGCGGAACAGCTGCCTGTTTTTTTTATCACCATTTCGCGCGGCATGTCTGGTTCGCACAAACTCACTAAAAGAGTAAAGCTGAAAAAACGCACTTGCAGGTGAACGACCTTTTTTGCGGTGTTTTGTAATCTTAATGTTTTTTTGTTGGCCTGTACAGTGGTGTGGGAATTTTTAACGTTTTTTTTAAGCTTTTGACATTAAAGCACATGTTTACATATGTTTTTAAATTATGATTGAAGAAATGAAGAGTTTTTTAAAATTTAATTATTGAATTCTCCTCAAAAAAAGCTCTCAAAATGTCGCTTTTTTGAGTTCGTTTGCGTATTTACTTAATTTGTTTCCACAGCAGCTCGCCAAATGTTAATGAACCTGCAAAAGCTGAACAATTTTTAAAAATCGAGCATTAACAAAATACCATAAAGGTGTCCATTAGCTATTTATAGATCCGTATTGGCTTCAATACGTACATATATGGGGATATTGAGAAACCTCCGAGCAAGAAAAGTCTTCTTGTAAAGTTTTTAAAATAATTTTTGGTTTTTTATTTAAATACAATATGTGAGTTTGTTGTTTTATTTCATATATATTTGTTTTTAAGGCAAAGCGTTTGCATAAAAATACATTGTTTATACTCTTAGCTTGTTTATTTGTGTGGTCGCTTTATATAGTTAGTACAATACGTTTTGTAAACCGTTTGTTTTAAAGCACTAAATGATCTCGTTATTGCACTTCTACGACTCTAGTTCTAGGCAATGGTTTGAATCTGAGCAGAGTTCGGTTTTGGATATAGAAACGAAAGCAATTACCAGTTTATGTTTCTTGTAAATATTCGTAGCAACTTCTACTGTCAGTAGCTCTCTATTTTAGTCCAGTCTAATGTAAAGCGGATAACTCGATTAGCCTTATTAGCACTAGTTAAGCGAACTGCACTAGAAAGCCCTTTTTAAAACTAACCTCGGGGTTATGTTATGCTCCGATCTCATGTCTGATGCAAATAATGTCTTACATTTTACATGCCACATGGTCTCTTATAAGGATTAAAGTAGGGTGATTAGCGATAAATCAGAGGCGAATCAAGTGTTTAGTTGTAAAGAGTGTAAATTGAATTTACAATTGCACATATTAAAGTTAGGTATATAATACGAATAAGTACAAGAGTAGTGTATATTTTGTTGTATATATAAAGAACAAGGCAATAGAGTTTTGAGTTTGGTACATTTTCAACACAGCTAACTAAACTGGGGCTAAAAATAGTTAAGGCTTTTAGTCGTTAATAGGGTTTAAAAAAAAAACCATTTAAGATCTAACTGAAAAGGGGAAGTAGCTTGGAAAGAAGTACAGTTTTTTGGAACTAGAAGTACCTTACTGGCTTTAGAAGGTGAGACCCTAAAATAGTTTGGTAGGGGAAAACTTTAAAATAATTAAAAGGTTCATCAAAAGGGACATCTTAGAGAATATATTTCCCCTTTCCCCGGTTTTCCGCTTGCCGCTTCGACGAAACTGCTCCCAACAGGAAGCTGGAGCTGGCGCCGCTGCTACTGCCGCTGTGGGTGCTCCCATAGCTGCCGTAGCTCTCGCAGCTACGAAGATTCCCGTAGCTGGCACCGTAGACGCCGAGCGGCAAGGCGTTTAGCTAAATCATGAGCGCTGAGAAGGGGTTGTAGCGCATGATCTTCGACAGCAGTATCCACAGCACCGAGGTTATGGCGCACAGCACCACACCTCCCCAGCCCAGGTCGAGGCTCCATGAGGTGAGAAATATGCGCGCTCCTAGCAGGGGCTTCGCCATAATGGCCACGCCTCCGGGTCTGGCCACAATTCCGTCCACAGTGCCGTCGTAGTCGCTGTCCAGCATCGGTCGGCCTTGCTGCCGCTTGAAATGGATGATCATCAGGGTGAAGAGCGCAAAGAGAGCTATGGGTTTAAAAATAATTTAAGTTTAAAATAAGTTATTAAGTAAGTTTTAGAGATTCCTCACCCGCTAGAAGATACATTACTCCGGTGATAAGTATTGCACTGATTTGGCGCTGGCAGACTCCAAAGGCTCCTACCAGAGCGGCGCTGCCCAAGATGATGAGACAGACCAACGAGCAGGATATGGAGAGGTTTTGCATTCCTGTCATAAAAATTAAGTTTATTTGTAATAGGATTTTCAACTATATAGATAAAAGGGTTTTGATTATTTTAAAATTTGAATAAAAAAAAGAGTAAATGAAGGCAGAAGCTTATTTGTGGGTGAAGTGGTTAATGAATCTTAATGTTTTATATACACAATACTATCAAATACCTATTCTAATAAAGCAGTGGAGATTAGGTAGTATGATAGTTCTGAAAATGACAAACTTTTCCATTGGAGTCTTTAAGCTACGAATTATATATTTTGTGGTTCTTCAGCAACACTTTTAAAGTCGGAAACTGAAAACACAAATAACCAACATGAACAGAAGCGCCGAAGGAATAAAAGTTACCACACAAAATGGCCTATATGCTTCTATATGGTTTCTTCCATATTGCCAATATTGACTCGTAATATAGAAGACTAGATTAGGTTATCTGATGCGTCTTTTGTTTTTACATGATGTACTTTATGGAGATTCGGATGCCCCAGAGCTTTATAAAATGGGATTGGCGGTAATGATGTAAAGTGCTCGTGAAGCTACACATATGTACATATTTGGGCAAAGTGAGTCCAGCATGAATAGTTTTTGTGAATCATTCGAGTTGGGTGTTTGGCTGCTGAATGCTTACGTGATTATGCGTGGAAATAGAATGAAAATTAATATTTGTGGTCTTCTACATACATCGAAAGTGACGTCTAGGGCTCAGTCTACAAAGGAAACTGGTGGTAGGTGGAGGGAAAAGTAATAATAGTACCAAAAAAGAAAAAATACTTCAAGAAGCAATATCAAGCTTTAAATTACTATTTTGTTAAACCTAATTACAGATATTTCTGTGCTCGCTGACCAAGAAACATGTCCGCTGAAGCCGAAGCCATTGCCACAAAGGATGTTGTTGATGCAACGCCAATCAGCAAGCCTGTGTCTGCGGAGCCCGTGGCAGCTGACACCACACCGGACAACCCATTGGGCACCACCGAGGGAACCGGCAAGGCCGAGCAGGAACGTGCAGAGAAAATACTCAAGGGCAAGGAGCTCTTCAGCCAGGGATCGCGCAACTTTCTGGTAAAGAGCTATGACGAGGCCGCCGACGAGCTCAGCCAAGTGTGCCAGCTCTACGAGGAGGTCTATGGCGAGCTTGCCGATGAGCTGGGTCAACCCCTCCTACTGTAAGTAGTTTGGTTTTTGGCGAGCTATGACTGGAATATAACCCATTTATCCACTGGTAGCTATGCCAAAGCCCTTATCGCTATGGCCCTGGATGAAAATAAAGTAATTGATGTGCCGGACGAGGCAGCTGATGAGGATGACGAGGATGTGGACGATGATGAGGAGGAGGGTGGTGAAGAAGCCGACTCCAAAAAGGAGTCAAAGGCTTCGAATGGGGCCGGCAGCACAAACGGAAAAGTGTTGGACAGCATTAAGGAGGCCTCCGACGAGGCCGATTCCACCGGAGAAGCGGAACAGGCCCAGCCGGATGACCAGAAGGCCAAGAAACCGCCCACGGGAGTAGACGAAGTCAGCAGCAGTAATGGAGGCGGAACATCGGCAGTGAATGATGACGAGCGTCCAAGCACATCGAATGGAGAGGCCACCACCAGTGGTGGCTCTAATGGAGCCACCGCCACTGGGGAGGAGGAGGGCGAAGAAGAGGAGGGAGTCAGCGGCAGCCTGCAGCTGGCCTGGGAGATTCTGGAGGCGGCTGCTAAAATCTTTTCCCGCCAGGGCCTCAGTGGCCTGCCTTATTTGGCAGAAGTGCAGACCGAACTGGCCAACATTGAATTCGAGAATGGCATTCTAGAGGCCGCTCGTGAGGATTATGGTATGTTTTCACTGAAGTTTATCCTGAATTCTATTTCAATTACTCTCTCTTTTTATAGAAAAAGCTCTTAAAATTCATGGCGAGCTACCCAACCAGAACCGTCGCGCCCTAGCCGAGTTGCACTACAAGATCGGGCTGACCTACTTGATGCAGCAGTTGAATAAGGAAGGCGCGGCAGCCCTGCGACAGTCGAGCTCATTGATTGAAGAGGAGATAGCCGAGATCAAGGCCAAGGATGAGCCAAGTGAGCGCGAAAGGAATAACATGCTTGACTTGGAGGAAACCAAGCAGGAGATTCTGGCCAAGATTCAGGAAATCGAAGAAATGCAGGCTCAGGTAAGGGAAAGTTATGGAAAGTTTTATGGTCATCTTATTGTAATCTCATCCTTTTTTTCAGACCATTGCGGAGGTGCGAGCTGCTTTGGACAGTTACATAAAGCCGATGAGCAGTGGTGATGGTGCTGCTGCCGCCTCTTCGACATCCTCGTCCTCTAACGGAGCCGCCAGCTCCTCCTCGAGCTCGGCCAGTGGCTCAGCGGCAGCCTCTTCGTCGGCCATCAGCAGCAGCTCGGCCAAGCCCACAGACATCACGCATCTGATCAAACGCAAGAAGCCCGAGGAGCCCAGCTCGGAGGCCGAAGCCCTCTGTTCGCCGGCCAAGCGACCCGCCGTCTGAGCGGACATTCCAGTTTTCTAGTGGCTCTCCACGGACAAACAAAAGCCCCCGCGTCTTTCACATTTGCTACTTAAACACCTCACGATTACATACAACCATTACAACCACTGTCCTAGCCCCCGCCCCGCTCCTATTTATGCTATTTGTTTGCTGTTTTTTAAACCAAGTCTCTAATTCTAAGATTACAATCACAACTAGTGCTAAGTGCGTACGTAAAGAAATGTTTTGTATTAAACTAAAAAAAAAAAACCAAGAGGAAACAAAAGATGTAAACAATAAATACGATAAATTGCCTCACAAAGATTAACGTGAAATCAGAGAGAAAGAATCGCATGGAAGTGGATCGGACATAGAGTGGAGGTTCGCGGTAGGATCGCCCCAGGATACGTACTCAGATGCGGCTGCAGAGTGACTTGTGACTCACTGTGCTGCCAGTCGTTGCGCTGCTCTTCCCCACGAGCGTTCTCCATGGACCCTGCCAGGTAATTGACGCACGGTGGAGCGCCTCTTGGAAACTTGGGGTTGCGGCGCAGCTCCTGCAGTTGCTGCATCGGCAGATCGATGCATAGTGTCCAGATCCCGCCGTGCATGGGGACCAGAAACACTGAGTCACGTCGAAAGCGATGATCGGCTGAGGATACAGAGAATCACCAAGATAGGATGAGGCCTCCATCCATGCTATATGTCAAACTTACCCCTTTTGTCCGGCTTGAGCATGGCTACCTGGTCATCTAAAAGCCACTCCAGGTGCAATCCCGACCGGTTGGTATAGCGATCCAAGCTGTTGCGATCCCAAGTGACGTGCTCCCAGTGATCGGTCATGATGGCGGCACACAGCATAGCCGTGGCGCTGGTGGTCATTAGCAGAGTAACGAACAGGAAGAGCACTGGCGGCGGACCCATGCAGCAGGTGGAGCAGCAGGCACTGCCCGTGACCCCGCCCCCCATGCCCAGACCCTCCATTTGCGATCCCAGGGAGGTGGGAGAACCGCTTCCGCTGCCCCGCCGCTGGATGACCTTGGCGCAGCTGTTCTGACGCAGCAGGATGCTGTTACTCCGCCTCAGGCTCTCGACGGCTGCTGCCGCCGCCGCTGTTGTGGTTGGATGGTCGAACTGCAAGGATCCTCCGACCACCGAGGAGGGGTGCTCATAAATGCTGTTGTGCTGGCTGGGGGCGAAGTAGTAGCACGTCGTTTGGCGGTTATCGGCTGAGCTGGAGGCTACAGGCTCCCCGCCGGGCAGTTCCTCATTGCTGCTGGAGTATACAATGGACTGTTTAAACTGGTTCGAGTAGCAGTTCTGCTTGAAGCTCTGCTGCTGCTGCTGGAGCTGCTGCTGTTGCACGTACAAGGTCTCGTAGTCGCAGGCGTGAGGATTACGGTATATAACCGGCCAGGATCGGGTGGTCTTGGAGTTGTGACTGTACCGGTTGTTGATGGCTGATGATGTGGTAGTTGGGGCAAATCCGCCTGGCTCCTCCACTAAAGGCGTCAACTCGTTGGGCGGTTCGCCCTGCTGCTGCGTTTGCTGCCCTGAGAGATTCTCCTCCGCCAGATCCTCCTGCTGGATAGTGGTGGCCAGCTGGCGCTGGAGCACGTTTTTGGCCGAGCCAGTGCCGCTGCCGCTGCCACTGCCGCTGGCCAAGCTGAAATCCTCCTCCTCGACCAGAGTTGCGCCGCCTGGAGGCGTGGAGAAAAGGCTGTTAGACGTCGGCGGCGAAGGTTGCGAGCGACTGCGCAGTAGCGCAAAGTGCTTGGGCTGGATGGCCTGGGCGGATGCACCGGTTCCAGCGGCCGTGGGCGAGGTGATGCTCACTTCCGGGACGCAGCGGGCCGTCACCTTGTACCGACTGCCGCTGCCAACGGCGACGCCGACATTGACGCCGGCGTGGCCCTTGGAGCGCATCAGTCATAAGTCGCTCGCGTCCCGCTTCTTGATTTTGTTCAGGCTCATGTGGTTCGTGGTGGTGGCGGTGTTGACGGTGTTGGCGATGGTGGTTTTGATTTGGATTTGTATGTTTGTTGCTATCGGATGTATCTGATGGATGCGAAATTGCACTGGCTGTTGCTTGGATTGGATTGGTTTGGTTTTGGTTGGATGTATCTGATATTTGCTGGATGTGTTCTTATACTTTGTGTGCGGCGCCTAATATCTACGATGCCAAATATGCAACTTTTGCTTGGGTGCCACGAGATAAAAATTCAAATACTTAAAGTATCTACTAAGTAGCAGCTTCTTGTTGCAGTTTCACGTTTGTTTTTTTAGTTTTTGGTTTATTGTTGTTGCTTTTGTTGTTGTTGTTTTTTATGGTTTTGTTGCTCTTGTATTTGTTGTTGTTGCTGTTGTAGCTGGCTTCTGCCTTTTGTTTAACTTGTATTGTATACCAATTTACAATTACGAGAGTATGTCTTGTTTTTGATTTTCTTGCTTTTCTTTTGTTCATTTACTACGTTTTGCTTCGCTTGAAGCTATAAAAAGAAAGTAGAAGAAAACAAATGTACAACATGAGTTCAAAGAAGGAGAGTAGAGAGTCGGGACCTAAGTTAAGAACTAACTACAGCGAAAGTTAGATGATGATTATAAATAAATAAGATGCATACACTTGTCAGTATCTATTTCTACAGTATCTAATGTGCAGAAAACATCTTACGTGCAGAAAAAGTATCTAACGAATGCCAACTAAAATATTGCACATCTACATACATTACATACCAATTAAAACTACAGTGACGAATGCACAAAATATTAGATAACAATTTTGGTGACGAAAAAAACCATATAAATACATATGTAATACATATGTAATGGACAAGATACACATTAAAAATAATGTTTCTTTCGGTTTTGGTAAAATAAAGAATTGTTGATGATAAAAATTAAATAAAATTGGAAAAGTTATATATAATATTAATCAGAGTCTATTAAATTTAATATCTTAAAAGTACCAAGAAAAAAAATATCTTAAAAACTTGAAAAGAATCTTAAAACTATCGCGGCATCTAACCTAATCCAATTGAAAGTTGGTCCTAATTTTATCCGCTTATTCGCCCCAGGTAAGTCCAAATTGCATTTAAAATTCGGACCAGAGATATTCGCCCAAATTTGAATGGCCCCAAAAATGGGCCAAATATTCAATTGTGCTGGTGCGCGGCCACAATCTGTCGGAACGGAACGGCAGGAGGAGACCTCGGATGGTAGACTGGTACAATGACTATTGCATATTACATGAGGCCGCCTCAACGCCCAACGGACATCCGGTGGCCAGGCCGGTTCTTCAGCTCCCCCTTTAGCAGTACGAATCCTTCCGGTGGCAAATTCAATTTGCTCTCATGGCACACGGCCACTTACGGTGGCGGCAGGTGCGCTGTTGCCAGAGGTTAGAACCTCTGGTCATATGCGAATGTCCATGTGGCTCGAGGCTAACCGCATTCTCACCCAGTTTCGTATCTGCCACAGCCCTTTGCTTTGTGGCCAGAATGAATTTTAATTCAGAATCAACATTTTCATTTGCTTAGGAACCGAGAATCCGCAAAATTTTGACCCACATTGCATTAAGCGAACAGCATATTATTAAAAATTAAATATATTTTTAATAAAAGTTTCGACCAAGTGCGCAGTGGCATTATACAACTAAGCTTGGTTAGCCATATCCTTGTCCATAATCATCTGATTCTTGAAAGGAATACTTTAAACGATTTGTACATCGATTCTCCATCAATCTGCATCAAAACCTAACAACAAAATATTTTTCAGATTTTTTGTCAAAATTTCTGATGGGTCCCCTTCAAAAATGGGGAAAATCCATGGATGGGCAACATGGCCCACTGGGAAGGCTATATCTTTTTCAATATTTATCCGATTCTTAAAAGGAATACCTTAAACGATTTGTACATCGATTCTCCATCAATCTGCATCAAAACCTAACAACGAAATATTTTTAAGATTTTTTGTCAAAATTTCTGATGGGTCCCCTTCAAAAATGGGGAAAATCCATGGATGGGCTATATGGCCCCCTGGGAAGGCTATATCTTTGCCAAATGTGGTACGATTTTTGAGCGAAATATTACAATAAAAATATATTACAATATAAAAAAAGATTTTTCACTAATCTGAAATCAAAATATATATATGTATTGGATACATTTATATGATCGATCATGGGCCTATGTTAAACTGCACTCCTAATTGGGTTACACGGCACATCTGGAGATTTCTTTACAGAGGGACTTTATGTTATAATTCCTTTGAATGTGTAATAGTTGATGAAATCAAAATCTTAGTCAAGTCACACATCATCCCAGATCTGATTTCTGATTTTAGTCGCCACACACGTGCATGTGCTTTCGTTCCCAGCCCTCATGTGCGCTAGCCTGTTAAATTTTTAATGCAAACGAAATAAGAGACTGGCAGGTAGAGCTTCGAGCTGATGCTCCTCGTTAGCATAATTGATCAGGAGGATTGCACGTGTCACGGACTGTGTGCGTCTATGGGTTCTGGTCAGTAGGTCAGAGGGTGGGAGCAGCTGGAATCAATTAACACGCATGATGACCCCAATGAGGCGACTCCTTCACAAGAGCGGATACCGGTTGGCAGGCTCAGGCTCAGGCTCGGCGATAATTTGATTACGCCATGAGTTGGCCACTTGACAGTCGGTTCAGCACTTCCTTTCAAAATCCCACTGCTGTTCAGTGGGTTCTCTTCCCCTCACTGCCAGCTTCCTGCCGCAACTACCATGCACTGGAAACTATTTTGTGCACCTGCACACCTTATGGAATAAAACTAAGTCGGAAAAAGAATCCTGTTTATAGCTTAAAAGCTTAAAATATTTATGGTTAATAATCCAACTTGCATACAAATGAAGGCTCATTTTAAGATTTAATTTCTGTGTAATGTCCTCAATGCCACAGAAACACACACACTTACGTAAGACTATTGGCCTCCAGCACGTTCTACGCACACAGGCACGCAAATGCACACAACTTGGAAGCAACGTTGTGTACGTGAGTTCCTTACCAAAGTTGGCGGGAAGTGCAGCTGCAGCAGCCAAACATGGCTACTTGGAGCCGAAGAAAGGGAGTGGCGGATGGGGATTTTGAGCCAAAGGAGCGGGAAGTCGAACTATTCTGCTGCGAAAGACGCTGTGAAACTTTGGAGAGACTTTTCTCAGTCGAAAGTTTTCCATCAAGAAGGATAGTAGTTTTCCACACTATAAGTGTTTGTTTAGAAAACATGCAAGAGAAACACTTAAATGGCGGAGGTGGATAAGCACCAGTTTTATAAACCTAGGGCGTAGTAGCTCACTACCGAAAACCTCACTTTCGGATACATTATTTCATTAAGGGTATTACACACAATTGTTCAATTTACTTTGATTTTTATTTATTAATTACCACATTTATTACTTTTCTTATGACCACAATCAACAATTGTTATGGAGGATGTCTTTATTTTGTGCGACAGCAATTAAAAACAGCACTCGATGGCGTACTTTCGGCTCAGAATATTCCTTATTTTCGTTATTATTGTTGCCCGGCAACCTTTTGCGGTCGCCTTGGCAATCAACTAGGGCGGACTGGCAGCAACAACAGCTGGCAGGAACTACGGCGAAATACCCGAAAGGGTCACCATAAATTAGCAGTCACAACAGACAGGTTTCTTCACCGAGCAACTTTCTGCAGTTTCTTTCCTCTTTGTACAAATGACGTAACCGAAATTAAAAACGAGAATACACGGGTAATGTTCTTAACTATTTTAAATTGTTACAAAGGAAAAATGTTTTTAGATAAAGAGGGTACTCCTTAAAGGGTCCTTCGTTTAAGGATGCAGGCCATGGAACTCAGTGCCGGAACCTGATACGGATGCAGAGTGCTTCTCCTAAGTTTCTTGGCTTTGGCAAGGAAATTTACGTATTTTTCGAGCCGTTATTCCCGGCAAAAAGTTTGCCAACTAATTAAAACTAATCTTATGCAATTTCTTGCTAACTATGCGAATAAATCTTGCCAAGGGCGAGGCTGGGAGTGTACCATATATATGGTGGCAAACATCTGCTATTGTATATTAAAGGCGGATACAGACTATAAATTGAATAAAAATGAAAAGGATTTTCTTTTCTGGCCAGTATTTTGCAACTTGTAACTCAATTTCAATTAAAATCTCTTTAATAATGATAGAAACCTCGGAATAATTCATGGCATTTAAGAGCGAAAGCAATTATATTATAAATATGGGACAAAGTACCACTTAAATGTCTTTACTTCTGGCCTTGTCATTAATTCATGCCTGGACGTATATACGTATAATTTAGCCACCAGGCCATTACCAGTTGCCTGCTCCTCTGGCAGAGTAGTATGTATGGTGGGCTCAAGTGACACAGAAAGCCATACACACGCACACCAAATTAATGGGTTGCTACATGTGCGTGGGGGTGTGTGGCAAGAGCAGTGGCACAGCCCCTGCAAAAAATAGATAAAAGCAGTTAATTTTGTAAAATGCCAACATGCAACAAATACTCGTTGCGCCCCACATCAGATGCCTCCTCCACCGCTGCTCCTTTTAGTATTATATTTGATGCAGGGTTCCATAAACCGAGCCGGGATGTGGAAAGGGTCGGGATTAAATTTATTTAAGTGATTGCATTACATTCCCATCCTGTAATTGCTGATTCCAGTATGTGATGGGTGTAGTCCTACATAATATCCGGGATTAGTGGAGACCATTACCATCGGATTGGCCCAGTTTTTGGACCGTGATTTGGAACAGTGCCGAAAGCGACCCATCTGGCGTATGCGCAATTTTTTCACTCTGGAGAGAAAGTAAGTGCATTCAAGAGCACACACTGGCTCTTGGCTCCTGGTTATTTATAACTTTCGGGGCGCCTGCTAGATTACATTTTTCCCGGCGATTTGTACGTCTCCGTCTGGGTGGCCCAGAATCTCAAGGCCACAGCCGTAAAGTTTGCCAAACTTTGCTTAACAGGGCCATTTTTATGAGCGGAAAATGCATAAACTAAATTCATATTGCCTGCTCGGGCGGAAGTCGCAC